TACGACTGGCAGTAATACTGATATGACAAGCAGAGAATTCTAGAAACACTTCGCTGCAGCGGACCCTTTGTTTTTCCAGTCACAATTATTTTGAGCTTGGTGAAGAGAGGGGGCTCCTCTATTCTTGTGTTGTTAGTAGCCATTGAGGTGGTTTTGACTCTGCACAACAGGACAATACACTGGCCAGTCCTGCGCCATCCTCACAGTTGTTTTTATGTTTGTACCCATTGTCGTAGCTACTGTGTCTGTTGATCTTGGTGAGGGCTTCCTTCTTGTTGGCTGCCCCTCTGCTCTACCGAGCATGACGTCCTTCTCCAGGGACTGATCTCTCCTGACAACACGACCAAAGTACGCGAGACAAAGTCTCGGCATCCTTACCTGTACGGAACATGCTTTTTTTGTTTTATTGGCACATAGCCCCATATCATACCATTCAATAGTTTAGTCCTATCCAGAAGAGTTGTACATTCATTACCACAGTCAATGTAAAAACAGTCTATTCTTTCTTGTACTCATTGTTATAAGCTCTCCATTTCCCCCCTCGCCCCCTCTAAGGAGCAGTGTGGCTGAACTTCTTCCAAGACAGAGCTGTTTGTTCTTTTGGCAGTGCACGATTCTCTCAATGTCCTTCGCCAGCACCACAATTCAAATGCATCAATTCTTCTTAAGTTTTCCTTATTCAGTATCCAACTTTCACAGCAAGGCAAGGAAGTACTGTGGCTTGGATCAGGCATGCGTTCGTCTTCAAAGTAACCTCCCTGCTTTTTAACACTATAAAGAGGTCTTATGCAGCAGATTTATGGAATACCATTCATCCTCTCACCTCTTGTCTGCTGCTTTCATGAGCATTGATTGTGATCCAAGCAACTGAAACTCTAATTTCCCCCCTGCTTATTTTGGTGCTACCTATTAGTCCAGTTGTGAGGATTGGGGTTTTCTTTACATTAAGCTGCAATCCATGCTGAAGGCTGCAATCCTTGATCTTCTTTAGGAAGTCATCCTCACCTTCAGCAAGTCAGGTCGTGTCATCTGCATGTCTCAGGTTGTTAATAAGCTTCCCCCAATCCTGATGCCACATTCTTCTTCAGATACTTCAGCTTCTCTGATGATTTGCTCAGCGTACAGGTTGAATAAGTGTGGTGAGAGGGTACAACTCTGACACACACCTTTCCTGATTTTAAACTATGCAGTATTCTCTTGTTCTGTTTGCACCACTGCCTTTTGATCTATGTACAAGAACCACATGAGCACGATGCATTGTTCGGGAATTTCCTTTCTTCTCAAGGTTATCCACAGTGTATTGTGGCCCACACAGTCAAATGCCTTTGCATAGTTAACAAAGCACAAGTAAACATCTTTCTGGTATTCTCTGCTTTGAGCTTTTTTTTTTTTTCTGAGAAGATCAAATCCACCCACAGTCCCTTCTTGTAGGTGAAGCATGAATGCGCTTGTCCTTTTCTTAGAGTCTCATTGATGGAGCAAAGACCAAACGAAACCCAGAATCTGCGGGCTGACTTCACCTACTGACTCTCCTTCCCACGGCTAGGTGTACCGAGGGCCTGCAAAGAGCTGAGGGAACAGCAGGTTAAAGATTGTGGAATTTGTCTAGGGACTTTGTGAAAGCCCTTCAGTCAGTTCTTCAGTACTTGAAAATCTTTCCACCAGGACAGGGGTGGGCCTGAGACCCTACAGGTTAGCCACCCGAAGGCCTGTGTGGTAGTTAGAAGATTTCACATCAACTTGAAGAAGTATGAAAGTGCAGTGGTGGAATCCAACCTGTCAATCCAGTCACAGCCTGATGATGCATCCTTGGGGGTGTGGCCTTCTTATAAGGCGAACCCTGGGAACCTCCCTCTCTCTGCCCCTTTGCCTTCCTGCCTACTTGGACTTGACCGCTGGCCCTGCCATGTTTCCACCCACCTTGGATCCACATGACTGTGCATCCACCGGCCTGTGATCTGCCTGCATCCTGTCTCACTGCACATAGCTACGTGAGTCTGAAGAGGGTCTGAGGGACTAGTGTGGAACTCATGAACTTGTGTTGGACCAGGCTGGGATGCCTTCTTCATATGGAATTACTGCTTGATCTAAAGCTCTTTCTTACCCATGGATGCGTGTCACTGGATCTGGTTCTCTAGACAAACTGGCGGACCACACTTGCCACATTCGCATTAGAGGTCTGATTCTAACAGAGAACAGACGCGACTGTGTGATGGGGCCCTCGGGGGGCAGAGGAGCCAGTTTCCTAGAGCTCCTTGAGTTCACACTCGCGGTGAAGTGCACTCTGCATTCCAGGGGCACACATCCTTTTTGGATTTTATGATTTGGCATTTGTGGTCCCATTGCTGCTGCTCTTTGTTACCAAATCCCTAATCGTTAAATCAAGCCTGTGGCTCTCCCATTTTAAAATCTTATATTCTTATTTACACTCCTGTCATCTTGTATTTGTGTCCCAGTGGCTTCCATAAATGAGGAAAAAAACCAGCAACCAAGGGTTCACGTTGTTGTTCGTGTTAGTTGCCCGCAAGTCGATTCTGACTCATGGTGACCCCAGGTGTTCAGCAAAGAACTGTGCGCCATCGAGTTTTCATGGCTGTGACCTTGCAGAAGCAGTTTGCCAGGTCTGCCCTCTGAGGCACGTCTGACTGGTTTTGAACCATTAACCTTTCAACGAGACATTTGGTGCTTAATCAGTTGTGCCACTCAAGGACTATTCAAAACTAGATAAGCTAACAGAATTTTCAGGACACCTCCCCTATCCCCATGTGACATCTGTTTGTATGCCTCTAGCCTCTGACTAGTCATTTAGTAGGAACCCTGGTAGCATAATGTCTACATATTGAGCTGCCAGCAGTTCAGCAGTTCAAAACCACCAGCAGCTCCATGGGAGAAAGATGAGGCTTTCTAGTCCCATAAAGAGCTACAGTCTCGGAAACCCACAGGGGCAGTTGCACCTTGCCCTATAGGGTCACTATGAGTCAGAAACGACTCTTTGGCATTAAGTTTTTTTGTTTAGTGGGGCCATTTGGCAGCTTATATGTGTGTAGTGTTTAACTTTACTTGCCCACTTAAATCCCATCTCATTTGTGTCTCAATTATTACTTTTTTCCCTGTATAACTTCCTGTTTTATTGTGTGTGCAGATTGTTACTCTGGTCCTGAAACAGAATTTCGGCCATGAAATGGAAGTGTGCTGTCCGCTTTGGGACTTTACTCTGTGCGACCCCTTTGAGTCAGTCCTTGCAGCTGTGCAGCTGGGAGGAATATCTGCCATCCCTATTGCAGCCTCATTTCATAGAAGGGTAGCGGAGACTTAGAGAGGTTAGGGAACTGGTCTGAAGACTCTTTGTGGAAGAACGAGACCAATCTGTGTTTCCTGAAGCTTGGTCAAGTGCCCTTACAGAAAACTCACTGCCACTGAGTTGATGCCAATTCATAGCGAGCCCGTAAGGACAGGGTAGAACTGCCCCTGTGAGTTCCCAAGACTGTAACTCTACAGGAGGAGAAAGTCCCGTGTTTCTCCTGTGGAGCGGCTGGTGGTTTCAAACTGCTGGCCTTGTGGTTTGCAGCCCAGTGCGTAACTGCTACGCCACCAACCTTCCTTTTGCTTCCTCCCAAATGCCAGGTGGCTGCTGCGGATACTGCCTGTGTTCATACCATGGTGAACTCTGCCTCCTTCTTTCATTTCCTCTATTAGTTGCCTGATTGTTATATTTCCAATTAGATGTAAAACCCTCATCTCCACTCCTATGAAGCTTGGATCAGGAAACTTGTCTCCAGAAAGTAAGGCAAGTCTTTGGCTAGAGACATATGATTGACTTTCATGAAACAATTTCTATGAGTAGAAGGAGCTCTCGGCAACTAACTGAGAGGCCAGTGGTTTGAATCCACCAGCCGCTCCTCAGAAGAAAGATAAGGCAGTTGACTTCCGTAGAGATTAGTCTTTTTAAAAAAAATCATTTTATTAGGGGGCTCATACAACTCATCACAATCCATACATACATCAATTGTGTAAAACGCATTTGGACATTCATTGCCCTCATCATTCTCAAAACATTTCCTCTCCACTTAAGCCCCCGGCATTAGGTCCTCATTTCACTATGGAGTAGTTTTACTTGGCCATATAGAGCTCTGTGACTCAGAATCAACCTGAAGGTCATGAAATATATATATATATATATATATATGTTTTTATATGTCTCAAGTTTGATGTATGCTATTTTATATATAATACATAAATATATTTTATATATGTGGACTATATAATATATGCTATAGATGATATCTAATATAACATATATAACATGACGCACGTTTATATGTTAGAAGAAAATTAACTACAGAGTATTTACTACCCGTGTGGTTCTGGAAACATGACTAAACCTCCCCGTGCCTCAGTTTCTTCATCTGTAAATCAGGGATGATAAAGGATCCTACTTCATAATGTTTTTGAAGATTCAATGAGTCAATATATGTAACTGGCTTAGGACAGTGCCTGGCACCCAGTACAGGCGATTTGTTAGCGATTCATTACCAGTTGTGGTAGTTTGTAAATCACCTCAGAACTGGGGGACAAGTGACTAGGGACGTTTTCACATCACTTGACCTCCTCGCAGCCTAGTGATAGGATTTTCACACAGCCATGTTTAGGGCGCTCCCCTTTTGGGTACTTCTCTGAGAAGCCACACCCCCTCTGTCTTCCTTCTTTGAGACTTGCTGTACTTAGTCTTCCTTTAGAAAGTCAACCCCCAGGCCTGGCTCATCATGACCCCACGCAGGTCAGCGTACAACCGTGCTCCATCCGACTGTTTTTGCAAGTGGAATGCCGAGCCTTGCTTCTGAGACGCTTGTGGGTGATTCAACTCCCCAGCCTGTTGGTGGCCAGCCAAACGTGCTCCGTGTACGACTGGGGACCCCTCTGCCATGATACCCCGAGCGCGTGCTGTGAGAAAGACCCAGAGGCCCTTCCCTTTCATTGACGGTGGTTTTCCTGACTTTCAGGATTTGGAATGCCCTCACAGATAATTATGGGAACGTCATGCCTGTGGACTGGAAGTCGTCCCACACCAGGACCTTGCACCTGCTGACGCTGAACCTCTCAGACAAAGGGGTAAGTTAGGAATTGGACCAAAGGTTTCGGAATAGCGGATCCGGGTCCCGGGTCAGAAACAGTAGCAGCACTTCTGTGTATACGTCGTAAAGTCAGGGCACTGCCCCTGGTCTCCCAGCTCGTGGAAGCTGCAGTGGGCCTGGGCCTCGTGTTGCCAACTTGGCTCTGCTTATGTCAGTTTGCTGGTGCGTTCCTCCTGGTCCCTGGCTGCACGCTCGCTTGGCAGGATTTAGCTAACAGTCTGTCTCCTGTGTCCGACCAGCAGCAGTCAGCAGGGTGGGTTCTTTGTTTTTCCAGCTGAAGGGATACCATCCTGAGGGGCTGAGGCCATTCGGTGAGGATCCTCGCCTCTGTTCTCACGCATGGAGGGGCTGGAGGGGCAGCGCGGAGCTGACGGTCGATGAATGTAGTGACTCTCTGGACATGACAGGTTGTCAGAGAGCTATGTGTTCCTGTGACTCTCCGTTCTTGACCTTTTAGGAAAGCCTGCCAGTTGAGCGTGTTTGAGGCTGTTGTCTGTGTCGGGCATCGTGAAGCAGAGATGCCTTGGCTGGAGCGAGAGTGCGGGCATTGGGACCTGTGGGTGGGGGGAGGGCAGGGGCATGGGAATGACTGTCATGGAAAATCACGGGGCTGGGTTTGTTTGGGGCGGACGGTCACGGAGCCAGCTTACCTAAGGCTCAGGGCCTGTGTGAGTTCCTTATCAAATGGCCGTGTAAACACATGCCCAGAGGGTTCAGCATTTCGCTGAGTGTCACTGTGTGATCTGAGGGAGTGATGGGCTTAGGGACAGTTGGGGTCGTAAATAGCAGAGGCCATGCAAATGGCTCGGGGAAGTCTTCAGCCTTCTGGGGTTTTCTAGTGAACACTGGGAGGCTCCCCCGTTTCCTGGTGCTGGGATGTGGCATCGTGGGCGCTTGTTTGAGTCATTGGCTGTGTGAAGTGGTGGTGCGGACTGGCACGGCGTGCATGTAGGCACAAGGCACAAAATGCACTACCCCACCCTCCCTCTCTGCTTACGTCATGCTCACTATCAGAGCGAGGCTCAGTGCACGTTTCCCTTCTTCTCCGAAGCTTCCTGTCTGTGAGTGTCAGCGTCTGGTGAGCTCGTGGCATTAGACAGCGCTAACGTCAGATGGCCCTTGAAAGGACGTTTCATCCACCCTTCCACTCGGGCACTGCCCGTCCCTAGCACCTCTGACAGATGGCCGTTTCTCCACAGCCTCAGTTGGTTATCTTAACTCGTCAGGTAGTGAATGGGCCTGAAATTAGAAGTCTGTTCTTCATAAAGGAGCAGCACACATGTAGCCACCGCATCTACTGAACTCACCAAACACTGGCGTTGAGTCAATTCTGACTCAAGTGGACCCGATAGGACAGGGTCGAACTGCCCCTGGGGTTTCCCAGAAGCCTCTTCTTTCTCCTGTTATCATTCTCGTAGATAGTCTACAATTAAGCCAGCACTTTCCCTGGGAAAATTGTTTTAACCTTGGTCAACTGAGGTACTTTAGTTTCCCCATGACTGAGCTATGCAAAATTTATCATTGGATGAATCCTTTGGCTTGTTCCAGTTATAAAACAAGATGGAGAGGAGATTTTGTTTTTATAACTTGACAGGTGGAGCATCTTTATTTTGCATTAAGATGAGAAACACATTCTGAGAAACTGGTCTGCTCGATTTTCGTTGACTCTTTTCCTTTCATTGAAGTTTGAGGCTGTGGTGCGTCTCTTCTAGTGGATGGCCCCTCACCTGTTCCAGGTTGGTTTGTGGGCACATTACATGCCCCATCACCCCCTCCCCCTATTGGGCACACCTTCAGCTCCCTACAGGGAAGCAGCACCACCTGCTCCTGACCTTGGCACCGGGTGGCAATTAGGAAGGCACATTTATGTCCTGATACCTGGACAGTCAAGGTTCATTTTCAAAGCCTGAAAGGAATTCCAGCCCTTAGCATATGCCAGCTCCCTGGGGAATGGGCTTGGCTGCCACTCTAGTAGATCATCTGGGATCATTATTTTTGATGTCATGGGAATTTATTTCGATAGCTTACTACTTGTGTGTTTTGGCAAGAAGTAGAAACCTATTCTGAATCCCTGGTCCTTCTTGAATGTGCCCATATGAGTGAATGCTTAGGAGCATCTTCTCTTCCACCTCTTCCCTCCCTTGGAGACTTCTAAATGACAGGAGCTTTATATAGCTTTGTAAGAGGGCATGGTAATTGTTTCTTTTGTAAGAATTAATTACCAGAGTAGGTCCAAGGAATTGGAAATTGAAGATGTCTTCATTGTCCAACTCTTCCAAGATAATACATGGCTCCCTCCCATCCTCCCTTGAGTAGATGCCCCTGGGTTCTCCAGCGCTCTGCAATGTCCCACAGAAACTCACGGAACTTTGAGGAAATGTCTCATGTGGTAGTGGGTGCTGTTCATTCCAAAATCTAAGGGCCAGGCCGAGGTGAGCCAAATCCAGGGTCCAGAGCCAGAGGAAAAATATGTCCCAAAGCCACAGCAGGTCTTCTTTCTTCTATTAAAGGTCAGTCTGGAAAATCGAGGTCTGGCTTTTTCAGGTGAGGCAATGTGGGGAACGGTGTGGTGGCCCCATCCAAGGAAAACAGGGTGTGACCTGGTCCACATCCCGTACTGAGGTAAACTCTTAGGACACCCTCAACGAGCATGGCTTCCTGCTGGTGGAGTACTAAGGTAGAGTCTTTTAACATTTTTTCCCCCTAAATTTCGTTTTATTTTTTAAAAACATTTTTTGGTGGCCTTGTACAACTCTTATCACAATCCATACATCCATCCATTGTGTCAAGCACATTTGTATATTTGTTGCCATCATCATTCTCAAAGCATTTGCTTTCTACTTGAGCCCTTGGTATCAGCCTTAGGAGTAATTTTAACACCATTGTTTATAGTCAGAGGGGAAAATAAAATAAAATTATTGTCCTCAAGAGATAGCATCAAAGAGCGAGGGCTGGGGCCAGAAGTGGGTAGAGATTCAGGAGGATAACTACTAAATGAGCCTTGGTGACGTGGTGGTGACTTGTTGGGCTGTGGATGGCAAGGTCAGTAGTTCAAAACCACCAGGCGGTCCTCTAGAGAAAGAAGCGGCTTTCTCCTCCTGGGAAGAGTTACTGCCTCAGAAACTCACAGGGGGCAGGTCTGCCCTGGCCCAGAGACCCGCTCTGTCGGCATCGACTCAGTAGCAGTGAGGGACAGGATAACTATTGGGTCGCTTTCACATCATCCCCACACTCTTCTGACCACTCAAGAAGCCAAATAGTCCCTCGCATCAAGCGCCTGCTCCCTCCACTGTTCTCTTTTTTCTTATAAGTAAATTCTTAAAAGAGTAAGTGTCATAACTTAACAAAGAGTAAACTGGGATTAGAGGATTTACATTGTGAAGGCAGCCGCTGTCATTCCCACTGTTGCTGCTGCTGGATTATATGTGCATACTGCTTAATTTGCTTTGGTTTTTCCCTTTCAGACCAGGTCTGTGTGCTTTCTTAGCAAAGACGTTGAAGCTTTAGCACTCCTCACCCTAACCTCCAGCACTAATCCTCGAGAAAACGCCGCCGCTCTCCCCATTTCACCAGTATGCTCATGTCCTCTTATTTGAGTCCTCTTTATCATTCATGGGCCTTGTTCTCCCTGGGGTACTCATTTCCTTTTGGGGGGTGGTTTATTTAAGATTCATTCACCCACCCAGCCTCAGCTGAGCCAGAAGACTCAAGTGTGGCACATGAGATCTGTAACTCAGTGATCCACCCTGCAGGCCCTCGCTGACTCCGTTTGCCCCTTAGCTTTCTGGATACGCTTCGCTAACAGTTCTGATCGGCACTGGCTTCTCTCTAGCTTCCCAGCCAGTGTTCTGCTGGATCCTCCCAGCCCTCTCGTTGCGGGGATCCTCTTCGCCGTTCTCTTCTGGAAGCTTCAGTGCCTTCTGCCGCCTCCATCTGCCCGAGGTTTCGGTGGACGTATTCTGTAGGAGGGCCTTTGAGGGCTGCTGGGAGGTAGCTTCTTTGAGCATTTGCACGCCTGTAGTCTCCGTGTCCACGGAATGGTTTGTTTCGGATGCACTTCATCCAAACCTGGCAATGACGGTCCTTGTTCTCCAGCATCTAGTGTTGTTGTGGAGGATTTGGCGATGTTGGTTCCTGATCCACTTTTCTCCCTCCAGCAGCTTTTACGTGCTTTTCTTCACCCCTACGGTGGTCTGAGATCTCCTGAGGAGGCGCTGAAAGCCACGGCCAGGGCTTTCCTAAGCGGGTGGTGCAGGGAGAAATAGAATGAGGCGGTGTCTTCGTCGGGACCTGCATTGTATGGCAGTAGATGGACTTAGCAGTGCCGGGCGTCTCTCCCATCCCCCTCTTAGGAAAGTCACACGCCAGCGGATCCTGTGCATGCCTCTCCTGAGCTTTCCTACCCTGCGGATCGTGCTGGCCTCAGACAGTAGTCGTGAGTCACTCGGCTGTATCCTCAGATTGTATGTTTACCGTGTATCCTCTGCTCTGTGTAATGGCTCGGTTGACTACAGTGACGGAGAAGCCACCTTAAACATGGCTTAGTTGATTTGTCATTTCCATTCCACTATGAACCTGGGCGAGACTTCTGTGGTCTGTTCTAGCTCTTGTGCGTCTGTAGGTCTGTTTCCAGTCTTAGCGCTGGGCACCAGGCACTCCAGGGGCCCTGGTCAACCAGCAACACCTCCTCAGCCAGCAGCCAAGACTCTCTGGCCTCAGCCTCTCAGCCATGTAGTTCTTTGGCCTCTGCCCCTACCTGCCAGGAAGCCCATCTGCTGCTCTGCCTTGCAGCCTCCTCACCTTGGCAGTGTCTCTGCTCTGTCTCATGGTCTTCCTTGGCCCCTGGTCTCAGCGAGGCATAGGCTCTGCCATGTCAGGCAGGGGTTTCTGATGTGCTCCACCAGTGGCTCGTCTTCCTTGATGTTCCCAGGCAATCTCGCTCTGCCTGCCTCTGCGATGGCTCTCTGACAGCCAGGAGACTGCCACCGAGCCTCGTCCCCTCTCAGCGGTTCCTACACCCGGCTTGCATAGTCCCACCCAGTCAATTGACGGGAGTGACAGAGACACAGGCCGATGGAAGACCCATAGTGAGAGAGTGCACTTCACCACAGCAGCTGTAATTGACTTTTGTTCAGCTAGTTTACGGGGCTGTCGGATTTGAAAATATTTGGTAGTTTAGGTAAGAGCTACACTCCTATTTCTGATCACTTTTTCCTTCTGTTGTACTGGAAAGGAGAACCCATACTTACCTCTGTTTAGGAAAGTCACCGTGCTTTGGGGAGTCCGATCCCTTAGAATGTAGTCTTCTTGTTTTTCTGTGTCTCGATTCCTCTGCTGGCCCTTTCTTGTTTCCGCAGCCCAGACTGGCCTGTGTGCCTCTAGCCCTGGAATTTCTGATGCCGCCGATGGTTGGGTGCCGTCGCGTTGTTTCTGGCTCTCAGTCGCGCGCCCCCCCGTCGTGTCTCTGGTGAAGAGCGCTCACTGACCAGGCGCGGTCTGGCCGAGAGGACAGGGCAGGCTTCCCTCTCCCAGTGGTGCCTCCCAGGAGCGGGGGACCCTTTGATGGTGTGGGTAAGCATCCGTGTCTTGAGTCACAGGACAGGCTGGAAAGGGCTGGTGGGACAAACAGAAAAAAAAAATCCTGAGCACAGTTAGGTTTCAAGATCTTTCAAACATCGATCTGGGCTCCAATCCCAAGTCGGCTCCCGACACGTGGTGACCTCGTGCACGAGGGAAGGGAACTCTGTTGCTGCTCATGCAGACTGTTTTCCGATCGGACAGTTGTGACCCATTGGGTTTCCGTTGGCGAAGTCACTGAAGTAGGTTACCAGGCCTGACTTCCAAGTCTTTGTCCAGAAACTCTGCTGAAACCTGTTCAGCATCTTGGCCACACACCAGCCTCCCCGGCAGCCCGGTGGTGCCTGCGAGTGTGTGAAGCGCACCGGCTGGACGCGGGGCACAGGGCTCCGCCATAAAAGGCAGACTTTTCCAGCCTGAAGTTTCAGTGGGAAGCTCATGGACAGTTAACTGCTTGCCAGGGAGTTTAAGTGATGTGACAGTCTTTTATCCTGAATGTTACAAAGTAGTTACAAGTAACCAGCTATGTGTTCTGTGAAATTTAGCCCAAACCAGCCTGAGGTTAGATTGTTCACAAAGTAACGCCTTGTGCTACTCTGGTCTCCTCCACCAAGTGCTGTAATTCCTGGCCCTGCGACTTGCTAATGAACAGTGTTTTCCTGCTTCTCCTTCAGCATTTGTAGCCGTCTTTCTTCCCTGAAGAGAGAAACACACACACACACACACACACACACACACACACACACACCCCTAACTATGTATCCATATTGGGCTATCGGGAGTGTCGGTAGCACTTTGATTTTGTTTAATTTGCGGTTCTCTGACTTCACACACAGCCTGGTCTGCAGGGGAGGTCACTTGGTGACAGTTCCCTCTCCCATGAAAAAGCCTGTGGTGAATGAATCCTTTCGCAGAGACTCCCTTTGCTGTGACCAGTGGGGTTAACAGTGGTATTTTTCTCTTTAGATCAGTGACGGTTTGCTCTTTGACACATCAGATGACGAGGAGCTCCGGGAACAGCTGGACATGCACTCCATCATTGTCTCCTGCGTCAGCGAGGAGCCCCTCTTCACTGCGGACCAGGTAGATGGGGTTCCCCCTGAACAAAAGGAAACGGGACAAGGGAGCTGAAAGAGGTTCTCTCATTGTGGCAGTCAGTGAGATTAGCGGTGAGGAGTTACCGTATACCCTCGAGTATAAGCCAACCCAACTATCAGCCAAAGCACCTAATTTTAACCACAAAAATGGCCTTTAAAATGTGCTGAAAAACTCGGCTTATACACAACTGTATACGGTACTTATTTTCCCCCACTAGGTTTTGTGGCTCTATAGCTGATGAGGAGCTCTGGCGGTTCAGTAAGGTGAATGCCGGACTGCTGACCTCAAGGTCGGTGGTTCAAACCCAGCAGCAGCTCCAAGGCAGAAAGATGTGACAATCTGTCTCTGTAAAAAGGTGTGGACCATTTCAGAAACGCGGTGGAACCGTGCTGCCTTGTCCTGTGGGGTCATTGTGAGTGAGTCGACTTGATGGCATTGGGTGTAGTCATGAGGTGACTTCTCTTCCATGAAAGCAAACAAACAAACAAACAAACAAACAAACAAACTGGTATACATAATATGAAGCAGACGGGGATCATGCTAGTGGAAAAAAAATGTCAAAAATAGGCTATGTTAAACAGTACAGTAAAGGCTATTGTTTGAACGGAAGTCAGAAAGTAGATGGTGGATTTCCCACTTCCTTTGAGATCTAGGCAGCGGAGCCCTGGTGGCGCTGGGCTTAAGAGACTGGGCACAAGCAGTTGTAAAGAGAGACATCACCCCTGTGTACAGCAGTGGTCTTTGTGATTGCTGCAGATAGCAATGACATGCCCTCTCCCAGAAAGCTCTGATTTTCCCAGGCTGTCTTCTCCCTCGTCCATAGTAATGAACACTCTGGCTCGTTGCTCAAGGGCTCTCATACTCACCTTTCACCTGGTTGCCTCTCGCCGTCCAGAGTGCAGGAGAGATGCCAGTTATTGGTTGGAGTCCCGCGTGGTGCACACACTTAACATGCTTAGCTGCTCATCCAGAGGGTATGCGTTGGGCTGCTAACTTCAAGGCCAGCAGTTCAAAACCATCGGCTTTCCATGGGAGACAGATGAGGCTTTCTACCCTGTACAGAGTTACAGCCTTGGCAGCTCACAGGGGCAGTTCTACCCTGCCCTGTCATGTCAGCATCCACTCGATGGCCGCGTAACTGGCCAAATGGCAGTCTAACTGCACAGAAATGGTGTCAGTCCTCTGAAAGCCTGGCTCCTGCGCATTAGCCTTAATGAGACGTGCATGCATTCCTCTGGACAGGCGTGAGCATCATGCTTGTTGCTGTGCCAGTAACAGCAGCCTGGTGTTTGAGCGAAGCGAGTCCAGATAGCTTTCTCCCACCACGGTCGTGCTGTAACAGTGTGACGCAAGAACTTCTGTCAGAAGTAAAGCGTGCCCCAGCCGCTGAGACAGCGCATTCTGTGACCCCAGAAGATTTGGAGGCTGCATAGGCAAGGTCAGTTAGGACATTTGCTCTGGCAAGTTGGGGAAGAGTCTAGTAAAGAGAAACCAGGTGAGAGCATTGCATGTCCTCCGCTGTCATCCTTTCATCTACGGCTGCTTTGTCATTTTGGGTTTGGATTGTCCCGGGCAGAGAGCAAGGTGATAGCAGGTCAGTGCAGCGTCTCGCGTTGTAGCGGGGTGTATCACACAGAGTAACCAACGGTCAGCCGGAGTTTTTAAGACGCAGGGTAACAGATTCTGCAGCAGCCTGGCATGGGATGTCATTGTCCCGACCAATGCCTGATTTGGAAAGCCCTCCTAATTTGGGAGCCCTGGTGGGGCGGTGGCTGTGCACCCAGGTGTGAACTGGAAGGTCCACTGTTCAAGGCCACCAGCTGCTCCACAAGAGAGCGATGTGGCTGTCTGTTTCCATAGTGATCCACAGCCTCGGGAATCCTGTGGAGGCCTTCCACCCCATAAAATAGGGTGATTAAAAATCAGGAACAACTTGGTGGCAAGGAGTTTCAGATTCACCCCCCACCCGAGCTAAGCTTGCTGATTCAAAGAGTATGTTAAATGTGCTCGTATGATTTGCTCCTTGCTTTATTTATTTTTTTATTTTTGGTCCTATTTTCTGTTCCGTAATTTTTCTGCCTTTTCGATTGTCCCTGAGCCCTGCATCCTTCTCTGCGTTTGGTGTGTGGAGAGGATGAGGCACGGTGCTCGTTGCTGAGTGGCAGTGCATCTGTCTCGTAGACGAACCCCGTCTTGCTAACGCGGCAGATGTATTTGTGAAAAATGCCTGCCACGGAGCAGTTCTTTTCCTCCCCAAGCTCCTACGTGTTCAGAAATCTCCCTCATCTCTCACTGAATTAACCTAGGCCCTTCTCTTTCTGCGGTTAAAGGGCAGTTTTGCCACCATGAAGATAATTTTTTGCTTTATGCTGAAGTGGTTTCCACTGTTGTAGCTTTGAAATTTTACGTCTGTTTGGCGACATCTCTTTTGATCGAGCACTGGCATGTGGTTTGAGGTCGAGTCTCTGTGGACTTGCTCTCTGACCAGTCTGTTGATGGTCCGATTCTGGAAATTCTAGACGTGGTGATTGCATCCGGGGAGGAAGATGAGACTTTTTAGGCCCGTGAAGAATTGCCATCTCAGACGCCCTCAGGAGCAGTTCTACCCTGTCTTCCAGGGTCCCGCTCAGTCAGAATCCACTGCTGGATGGCAGTGAGTTGATCACATCCTTCCTTTATAGCTCAGACGCTGCAGGATCTCACAGGGTCTGCTGGGTCAGGCGGGCATGTTAGAGTTAGATCATCCTCGGTTTCATTCTGTGTTTAGTGTGCGGCTGCGTTTTTCAGAAACTGCTAATGCCATGGTCGCCAATTCTGGTAAAAACGCTGATCGTTCGGGATACCTGATCCTGCACCCAGTGGAGGAACAGGGCGTTTTGTATATTTCTCTTCTGTTCCCTCTGGTGAATGCCACATTAGAGGCAGATCCTTCTTCCTATGCCTGCACAGTGGTGAACAGTGGTATGTGTGTTTTCTAAGGTTATCGAAGAAATCGAAGAGATGATGCAAGAATCGCCAGACCCCGAAGACGATGAGACCCCCACGCCATCTGATCACCTGTCCATGCTTTCCCAGGAGATCCAGACCCTGACCAGATCGAGTACGAGCGGTTCTGAAGAGAGTAAGAGCCCCAGTACTGCTCTGTGTGCTTGCTGCCGATGCCGGACATGCGCACGTTCCCCCCAGGAAGCTTTCGTTCTCACAGGTGTACCTGTGAGCACTCCGGCCTTCATACTGTCATTGCTCAAGGACTCTGTCTTACTCGTCTTTAACCCGGCCGCCCAGCTACTCGTTAGATGGTAGAGTCCCTGGGTGAGGCCAACAGTTAACATGTTCAGCTGCTAACCGAAAGGCTGCAGGTGCAAGTCCGCCCAGAGGTGCCTCAGAAGAAAGGCCTGGTGATCCATTTCGGAAGAACCAGCCACTGAAGACCCGCTGCCGCACGGCTCTACACTGACATGTGTGGAGGTTGCCATGAATTGGAATCAACTCAATGACTCAAAAACCCAACCCAACTCCCTGCCATTGAGTCGATTCCAACTCGCAGTGAGCCGACGGGACAGGGTAGGACTGCCCCTGTGGGTTTCCCAGACTCTTTACGGGAGTAGAAAGCCCCGTCTTTCTCCTACCGAATAGCTGGTGGTTTCGAACAGCTGATCTTTTGGTTAGTAGCCCAATGTGTAGCCACTACACCAATGGGCTCCTGAGCCAACGGCTACTGGATAGCCCTTTGTTGAAAATATCAAGTGGGTGGATCTAATCTGTCATAATTCCTGTTGCACAAAAGCCGATTTCTGCGTTGTAGTGAAGTGTTTTAGGAACTGGGGATCTTTGGGGTGCACCTGAGGATGAGGGGCCACAGAAACTCCCTGGCTAGACCAGCCCACCTAGACCCCGGGGCTGTGACTGCATGCACACCTGGCAGCTCTGCCCTGGCCGGCTCAGCTCACGTCACTGGTTTCATCTCGGGATCATCTGAGCTCTGGGGCTTGGGGGCTGCTCTTCCCCTGGGTGGTTCCAAGGCCACTTTGATTGGGTGGCTTCCTGTCAACCCTGTGAGGTCAGATGGACCGAGTTCTTGGGGGCGGTCTGATTTGACCATACTGATCTTGAAGTGGGTTTTCATGCTGAGTATCTCTCTGATGAGGGAGGGGCTAAAGCAGCAACGACCCCCCCAAAAGGTGTGTCAGAGTAGCATTGTGCCCGTTGTGCCTTCCACAGCGGTGGCCTTTCCGAGGTTGGTTGCTGGGCCCTTTCCCTGAGGCACACCTGGGTGGACCTGAACCCCCAACTTCTTGGTTAGTACTAACTGTTGGTGCCACTCAGGGAGTGCTCTGGTGAGAGGAAGGTCTGAGGAAAAGCTGAAATGGAGACTGGGGATGTTTGTCCCCTGTGGTGTTCTCAAACTGGATCAGAAACTCCCACCTGGGACCCGCGATTCCTGGCATACTCTGTTGAACTCTCTCGGTCGGGCGCCTCCCCTCTGCAGAAGCGCCAGAACCCGACTGCATTGCTAGCAGGCTCATGTCAGAAGCTCCCTCCCGTGCTTGGCCTCTGCCTTTGTGTTCCTTCTTGTTCAGGCGCGATTCAGCCTTGACCAAAGCACCATTCTTGAGTGATTGATTTCGACGAGTAAATGATTTGGTTAGACTTTTCTTCCCCGCCGTTTGAGAAGTGACGCGGCCCACCTGCCTGCACTCAGGCCTGGCCCCAGAGGAGTTTGCATCCCAGGAGTGAGCGCGGGCAGTCAGTTTAATTGCTGTAGAATATGAGTTTTGCTGTCTGGCATGAAACATCCTGGGGTGCTCCCTTGAAGGCTTTTTAAAAATTTTGTTTTGTCTTAGCGCCTGCTGTGTTTTGTTTCTGGCCACAGGAGTGAAACGGCTCCCGGTGTCGGAATTAAACGAGCTTTTGGAAGAAATTGAGGCCACCATTAAGGAGTACTCCGAAGAGCTCGTGCAGCAGCTGGCCCTGAGAGACGAACTGGAGTTTGAAAAGGAAGTGAAAAACAGCTTCATTTCGGTCCTTATCGAAGTGCAAAACAAGCAGAAAGAGCACAAAGAAACAGCCAAAAAGAAGAAGAAACTCAAAAACAGCAGCTCGCAGAGTGGCAAGCAGGAGCGGGGTCATGTGCCCGGCACAGTAAGCGAGGCCTCGGGGGAGTGCTGCCCTCTGGAAGCGGGCTCTGGGGGGATGCTGGCGAGGCCAGTGGGGGCACACAGGCCACGCGTGTGCTCAGCACTGTGTGGGTCACCGAAGCACCAGGGCCTTCTGTCCAGGGATGTCACTGTGCCCCGTTATCTCAAAAGGTGTTATCACACTGCCTGTCTATCTCCAAAGGTGTTTCCTCGGGCAGGCTAGAATGGGTAATTCAGTAGTGAGATGCTTAGGCGGGAGGAAGGGAGGAGGAAGGTGGAGCAGAGAACGGTGTGTCCAATAGCGAAAAAGTAGCCCTCTCGAGTGGCCACTTCCAGTATGTCAGGACCGTCAACTTGATGGTAATGTTTGTCAGTGGGCTTATGAATGGCTTTCTGTTGCTATTTTCATTCTTGAATAAGAATTTAAAAGTGGGCTCATTTAGAGGTAGCAGAAGTGTACTCACCCTAAGAGCACAGACGGGTTTGTGCCCGGCTTCCTTGGGACCTGTCAGCGAGGTTAGAATCGCAGGCTCTTAGTGGGAGGGAGGTGCTTGTTTGCCTGGTACTGGACAGATTCAAATTTTCCCAGCTGTTGACAACAAGTTTAGAATCGTCCACATTTTACATGAAGATCCTTGTTTGGGCTTTTTTTTTTTAAGTGGACAATTTGGCCAGACATTATGATAAGTGTTAGCTGTTGTGTCTGTGAACCGGATTTCTGTACTGATTTGATGGCTTGCATTTGGCTTTGATGGCCTCATGCAGTGCCGCCTCGGCTTTGATTGCATGTGAAGAAATGTGAGTTGTATTTGTGTTTAGAGCTGAGCTTATCAAACTTGCTGAACAAGGAAGCTGGTTTTGGTTTTAGATAAGGTAATGGGTCCCTGTTTTTTCTAAGAAGAAGTAACCTAAAATCCATACTATTGGGTTTAAATTTTTAAGTGCTTTTAAAACTCATACCGTCGGCAGGCAGCCTGGTGACACATAGGAGCACAGGCTGACTGGTCCTGTTTTCCAGGATGTACTCTATAGACTCGTGGATATGCCGAGTTCTTCAGCACATTTTCAATGCAGTTTTTGCGGTAAAATTAGGTGCCTCGGCTGATATTCGGTCAGCTTATCCGCGAGTATATACGGCAAGTTCTTCCTGGCGCTGAGTACATCTTGATTAATTTTGATTTAAAAAAGACCAATGGAATAGACCTCATTCGCCAGCTTCTGGTGGAATGCTAGGAGGAGAATGCCATGTGGGGGCTGCTGGTCCACCAGGGAATGCTCAATGCAGACAGGAACTGCCCTGCTGTTGACCCCTTTCTCTGTGCAGTCACTGTCCATTTGTACAGCGCTAAAGGGGCAGTCAGTGAAAAATCGGGATGAGGTACTGGACAATTTTGTCCACTGTTCTTGCTGCAGCTGGGTGCCATCCCGCTGGGTCTGACTCCCAGCGACCCGCGGGCACAGCAGAACGGAACGCTGCCTGGCGCTGTGCCGTCCTCACAGCGGCTCTTATGCCTGAGCCCAGGGGTGCAGCCGCTGTGTCAGTCCATCTCCGCCAGGGGTTCCTTTTTCACCGCTCTCCTCCACTATGATTGTCTGTTTCTGACTCATATTTTTAAAAAGTTACACCTTTACCTAAGGAGCCCTGGTGCTATTGAGGTTATGTGTTGTGCCGCTAACTGCAAGGTCAACAGTTCGAAACCAGCAGCAGCTCAGCAGAAGATGAGGCTTTCTACTCCTGTAAAGAGTTTATCTTGGAACCCCTCAGGGGCAGTTCTCCCTGCTCAACTGGGTCACTACGAGGCAGAATCAACTCAGTGGAAGTGAGGGCGTTTTTGGGTTTGTTTTTAGCTTTTTGTATAAATTGTTCTGTTAGACAAGTATGATTAAATGAGATGCTTAGTTCAATATTTGGACTATCGTTGGTAATTTCTGCATATCTTCAGTCAGGGTTTAGAGGCAGGATTTCCATTCCATGGTGCTAACGTTACCCAAGTGTATACATGATGTGGGGCTGTGTCTGGCCTCCTCTAATGTCACAAAGGAGAGAGAAGGAATCACAGTAGTATCAGCCCCGGACAGATTCCTATGAAGTGGAGGTCAGGCGTGCCTCCACCCTCCACTCCTCCTTTTTGCTAATTCTGACACCAACTGTCCCTCTCACGATACTCTACTTTTTTGCTGGGTTTGATAATATGTTGTCGTGACCAAACCAATTCACAGGCAATACTCCCAGTTAATAGGATTTGTTAGGGATGTTAACAGGGTAAAATTCAGGATTGGAAACACTCAGAATACAGTTCTTTAGCCAGGGCCGCCTCATCTCAGCTATGCCTGCTGGCACATCTCTGTTTCCTTAGCTACTTAGCCGCAGAGCCCTTGGCGGCATCTGCCACGCTGGGTGAATGTTAGACAGCTCCTTTAGCTATGTGCTAAGAGGCACCCAGTTCCATCAGTGGGTCTCTGCCTCAGGTACTCTTGGTCTGTGGGTGGGCACATCTAGCTCTCTGCGTTAAGTGCCCAGCAAGCCTCTTGTCAGAAAGCCCTCTGCTTTCACTCGTGGAGTGGCAAGCTTGTCACGACGCCATCTCCTGCCAGCTTCCTAGTTCCGCCGCTGCTGCTGCTGCTGCTGCTTCTCTGCTGTCTGTGCGGTCTTTGAGGAGACAGCTCTGTCTTCTGGACGGAGGAGGTTTAGCCCAGAGAGACGGCGGACTCGGCTCCTGGCTCATCCCTTGTGACGGCAGTAAGATCCCCCCTTGCACCCTGAGAATGGCTCAGTGTAAGTCTAGCAGAGTGGTCAAATGAACCAATCCTTGCGTACGAGTCCATACACTGTATGGCCCTGGTTCCTTCCCCCAGGGGGCCATGCCCCGTATTTCCGTTATTAGTGAGCTATCCAGTCCCAGAGAGGATGACACACACCTCACATTGCCTGGGCCTGCTCCGTCGTTTGGTTCGAGTTACAAAGACGGTGACTGAAAGTATTAATTACATGCTAAGTTATTAACTGCAGCAGACCGGGGTACTGAAAATTTTCCTTAAAGACTTCCTTTTTCAACTCCCAATTAAAAAAAGGTCTCGCTCAGATTCATGGTGTAATTTCTCATGGTATTTATATTGAGAAATGGATTATGTGAGGACACCTTCGGTCTTAATTGAACTCTCATTCTCTTTTCTTAAAAGAGATCCATTGTAACAATAAATGTTTTCAGACTCTTTGGGCCCCTGAGGTGGGTTGTTGAATCCTGAGCTACCACGTGTGTCCTTTAACGAGGCCATGGCGGCATGAGTAAGCGAGGGATAACATCTCGCTCCCGGGATCTTTCTTGAAATGCTAGTGCAAGGGCCCTTCCTCAATGACCTAGCCTGAAACGGGTGATTCTAGAAATAGACGTAACCAAGGCCCAACCAGTCGCGGTCGGATCGATTCCGGCTCCTGGGAGCCCCGTGTGTCGTGTGTAGAAGGCCGGTGTGTGGTCTGTGGAGCTTCCGTGGCTGTGCCCCGGCGGCAGACGTCTCTGGGTGGGTTCCCACCGACCACTTTGCAGCTCTCCATTGAGCCATTCGCCGTTTGTGCCCCCCAGGGACAGAAATGACGACAGTGACTCAGGAGAGCCCCGCCGGGGAAAGACCAGTGAAATCAAGGAATCTGAAGAGATACTAAGACCAAGAACCCAAACCCAGTGCCTTTCAGGGAATCTCAAGTCACCGTGACCCGGTAGGATCCAGTGGTCTCTGCCCAGGGGGCTCCCAAGGCTGTAATCTTTTTTTTTTTTTGGCTAAAATCTTTACAGCGGGTTCAAACTGCGGGCCTTTGGGTTAGCAACTGGCTGAGTGCTTTAACCCATGAGCCACCGGGCCTCCTCCAGAAAGATTTACGCTCCCCAAACAGTTCACGTAGAACGCAGTTTTGCCAAGGCCCTGCCTGTGAGTTAGCTGTCATCAGGGATACTAAGTTAAAAATATGGTGACCTCTGTTGCCATAGCTCTGTTCCCTACAGCTGTCTTGTGCCATTTGTTTCTCTGAGAACACCGGCCACTTCGTGTTTGTTTGCTTTCCTGCCTTTGACATTTTGGCATGTTAGTAGTCCTTGGGCATTTTTGTCCTTCTTCATGGAAAAGATTGATTCATAGAATCAAAAACATCCTAATGTACTCAGAGTAGCACTTTATCCATAATTGCCAGTGCATTCTCTTTGACGCAAAGATAGTCTAATGAAATAGCTAGGTGAGACTGGAGTTAAATTCTAGTGGGCATTTCATATTGAGCGCTGGTTTGGTTCGAAATCTCTGCTGCAGTGAGAGAGAAAAAATATGGTCGCCTTGAGGGATGTTATATAGAGCATTAGAAAATGCCCTTCGAACTTGGGGACATTAAATATTAAAGGAAATATTGACAGTCATAAATATGAAATGTTATCTTGATTTGAGTTTTAATTTTCAAGATAATTGGTTATAGCTGGATAAGATTCATTCAGCAAATACTTATCGAGTGTTTTCCTCAGGTAACACTCAAGATAAAACACCTGACC